TTTATCCTTTTCGTTTTTTGTTCCCTATTATTATTACTTTTTTGCATTTCCCATTCTTTGTTTACCGGTTTAGCAGGTCTTGGATAACGGGGATCAATTTGAGAAGATGTCTTGTTAATTTGGGATTATTGTAGAATTTCTAATATTTGAAATTAATATTGGAAGATTGCTAATAGTTGGATTATTGATGTGAATTTTTCCTAAATAATATACCCTGAACTTTATTTGTTTAAACTTTTTGTACCATATTTTAATTAACAAATAATATTTCTCAAATTAAAACCTCTTAAATAAATTTAGTTGGGAAAACAAAGATGCATGATTCCCAAAAAAATGTGTGCTTTCTTAGATGGCTTAGTAGGACATGGGACATAAATAAATATCTCAATTTTACAAAGTAGGAGATATTTATACAATGTGGATAAGTTTGGGGTGGGAACATCACACCTATACAAAATTTAGGGTATTTTATTTATTTTTCCCTATATATATAGGTTGTAGTGTCCATCGTTTTCAATATCGATCTTATACACCCTCCTTAAGGAAACATTTGGTTTTCCGCCTCGATTATGTTCTCAGTTTTTTTCCTTGAGACGATTACACACCAAAAGTTGCATAGAGTTCTTCATATTCTTCCACACGAATTTGATGGCAAAAGTTGTTGCAGGAGAAGTATGCCGACCGATCCAACGGCGGAAAAAAGGATGAGAAAAAGAGAGAGATTAGGATCAGGGCAATCAATTACCAGATCTGGACTCTCCCGTTAGCCGGTAGTGTTGCGGCTGCCGGTGGTGAAGTTGGCTAAGCATGGCGGTATATGGTGTCAGCCAACGAATCGGGGAAGGGAAAAAATGGAGAATTCGAGTTTTCACGTGCTGTAACGTGCAATGAATAGAATCGAAAGACACCCTTTACTCATTCATGCATGTCACACACACAGGGGAGAGTTCAAATACAAAGAGGTCTTCCCATGCAAAGTGAGAACCTTGTGCATTCATTTTCAGATCTAATGGCTCAAAATGAGCCAAAAATTCACTAAATGTGATCAAAAACGCGGTGGCAATTTCGTATATGAATCGAAGTTTTTTGCCAACACGAAAAAGTGCAACAGAAACATGACAATAGTGCAACGCAGTGAGGAAAAAGTGCAATCGTTCGCAGTTTGCACGGGAGCACCTCTTTTTATTTGAACACTTCTCTATATACACACACACAAGAGGGATAGGGAATAGGGCTATAATTACTAATGGATTGGGTCAGGAACAGGGCTTCAAGTACTACTGGACTAAGCCCTAATGGATATCCGTACATTCTATAACAGTTTTCCTAATATTTTGAACTGATTGTAGAGGATATTAGGGCGCACTTATACGAGATTCCAAGAATATTTTGATTACTTTTGTCCGGCGATCAACGAACCACGCCGCGCATGAGATCTCTCAAATGGTCATTTCTTTATCCGATAGTCATAGTTGATTTTCTGTTTGATGGATAGTGTACTTGGGGGTAGCTTATCCGAGGGGTTACTGCGGGGAGTAACTTAGAGAGAAGTCAGAGCAAATGAGTAAGAGAGAGAATGTATTTGAATATGTGAACTTGTTCTGTTTTACAATGGGGAAATGGGCTGCTATTTATAGCAACAATAAATGCTAGATAGGGACACGTGTCAACAATCTGGTGGTCGAGGGGTCACCTCAACCGGGGTGGCACTAGGCACTCGTGTGTGGCCGCATTAAATGCGGTGGTTGGATGTGACGTTTGTACTTGGTGCGGTGATTCAGCGCATGTGGAGAGGAGATTCTGTTGAGGAAGATGCTTTTGGCTGTAGGTGACAGCCTGAAGGCTCTTCGTACCGGGGGCCTTATAGTGCCGAGGGCTCCAATTGCCGAAGGCTTGGTTCTCAAGCCTTATTTTCCTGTGATGTTTCCGAGCTCAAATCTGTAAACGGTAGCCTTCGGCCATGTCGCCAAAGGCACCCCTATGTGCGTATGGTGGGTCGCTTAGAGCTTTGTCTTGCTGGGCTTGGCCCGCTTGGGCCTGTTGGGCCTGATTGTAATAGTGGAAGTATGTGGGCCGAGGGTCCTTGGGCCATATACTCCATCAGGAGTCCCTCACCCCTTTTTGCCGAAAGGCACTTGAGGGAAAAGGAGTAATTGTGTTTGTCCTCTGATGCTACCTTGCTGTAGTTTGTAAAGTTTGCGAGTAGATTTTCGTATGTGCATTTTGCCGAGGGCAGTCCCTCAGTCCCCCACATTTCGGGACTTGAAGGATTATGTTGACGTTATGGGGAAAGTTTGACATTTTGTGATTTTTCCCGGAGGGGTCCTCCAGTCCCTCACTCCTTGATGCACATGTAATATGGTGAAGAGGAGTATAGCAGTGCCTGTTCTCAGTATGTGGCCGAGGGCTGACTATTTTCGTTTCATTTTGGGGGGATGCCTCGTTAAAAACCTCATTAGGAGAAACCCTGTGGGAAAAAATCCTAATGAGGGAAAAAGAGTGCACCGAATTCCCCTAATGATGAATCGAAAAGGTCAATCCTTTGGTCTGAGCGTAGGGCCCATGTCGAAGGCTACTCGTGATATGAGACTTGATTATCGATTTGCTGAGGGCACCTTGGTGATATCCTGGTGATGCCAAGGGCGCCTTGGTGATATCCTGGTGATGCCGAGGGGATCCCTCAGTCATTGGGGTTGAGGGTGTGATGAATATGAGTGTGAGTTCCTGTATCGCCGAGGGTTTCCCGCTCCTCAATGTAGGGTGGGCTAAATGTTCCCGAAGGGTTCTCTGGTATTTATGCCGGAGGCTAAACCTTGATGAGGGGCCTCGAATATGGTAGCCCGAGGCCTTCCCCCCAATTGCTCCACGAAGGGTGTCGACTGGTGGCATCTCCGGGTTTTCAAAAAATAGTCGTTGGAATATGACCGTTGGAGAGGGCTTCCACGTGGCGCGTGCTCATTGGCTGCTCACGGGCGGGCGTCACCGGTTGGCTGAGAATGTGGCTCGTAATGATGACTTCGGTAACCGGAGGCCCGGTTTCCGGCCCAAGCCCGGATTTGGGAGCCGATAAATACCTCATGGCTAGGGCCATTCCTTACGCATTTCATTGTTTAGCGAAGCTCTGTCGAATTTTTTATAGAGAGAAAAAGTGTCGTGTGATCAAACCTAGCTTCCAAGGTCAGTTCCTCACTTTCTCCCTGCTTCATTGGTAAGTTCTTCTTTGCGGCCTTAGATTTTTTAGGAAACTCTTTTCCCTTAAACCCTTCGGACGTAGTAAAAAATGTCTTCGTAAAGTGATTCCCAAAATATCTCGAGGGAGCCTTCTGTTGAGGAAGAGAGTATCACAGACGTGGAGTCTGTTAGCGGACAGCCCTCGGTGAGTGGTGATTCCGCCATCGCTATGGAGGTGTAGAAGGACCTTGTGGCCGAGGCCGAAGACTTTGAGCAAGTCAACGACGACGAGGAGCTGGCCCTCGCTCTTCAAACTGCGGAAGAAGAGGAGGAGAAAGAAAGGCAAAAAGTTACCATCGCCATCCTCCCCCTCGCCTTAACGACGAAGCTGGAAGCTCTCGTCCCCTCGACCCGACGCCTATCAGCGTGGACCCGGGGAAAAATAACAAAGCGAAGGCTGCCCCGAAGAAGAAACAAGTTGTTGTCGACGTTGGGCAGCCAGTAGGAATTCCTGAAGGCTATTCCTACCTGAACACAGCTGCCTTAGAGGTGAAAACTAGAGCCACACGGGGGAGTACATGGCGACACAGTTTTTGGTCAGGCCCTCGGCACAAGTGGTGGAGTCGGGGCCAGATGATGTATTATTGCATGCGCCCGAGGGATGCTTCGCTGTCCATGTCCTCTCTGTGGAGTTGGGACTTCGATTTCCGTTGCACCCTTTCTTGTTAGAGTACTTAAGGTTTGTGAAGCTCGCCCCCTTCCAACTTACGCCTAATAGCCACTCTTACATATCGAGCTTCATTTCCTTGTGCCGGAGCCGTGGGGTCCCTCCTACTTTGGACCAATTTTTCCTATCCTTCAACCTCTGTCGAGGCGGGCATTCAAACGATGAAGGCTTCGGCAACCTACAGCAGCTTCCGAGGTTTAGACTTTTTGACGATGTGCCTTCGTCCCACAAGGGATGGAAGGACAAATTCTGCTACATCCGATTGGCGGAGAACCCCTTTCCCAGACCACTCCACGATAGCTTCCGGGGCATCCGAAGGTTGAAGGGGCCATCCTTGAGAAGAATGGGAGAAAGCTGTCCAAGAAGCCGAAGGGGTCCGAAAAACATGTATTAATCAAAGATGCCACCCATCCGGACCAACTGTACTCCCTCGGCTTCCGGCGATCCCGTCTGGTGGGGGAGGAGGATGAGAGATACTTTTTTATTGATCGGACTTACCAAAGCGCCGAAGGTTGTTGCCTTGCCGGGGGCTCTCATTTTATACTTTGGATTTTTTTTGTAGTAGTAGTATTCTAACACTTGTATGTTTCCCTCGCTTCTCAGGACCAAATATGGATGCTAGGAATCTTGCCAAGCTGAAAAGGCAAATTGCCAAAGAAGGAAAGAAGAAGGAGATTCCGGCTTCTCAGAGGGCCGTAGACGAGATCTTCCCGAAGGCGGAAATTGGGAATGATGGTGGGCCTTTGGTGAAGGCTGCCGTTGGTGAAGATGCTGGCTCTACTGCTGAGGGTTCCCCCGTCGAGGAGCTTAAGAGGAAGTGGGCTGGGATGGCCACGGTGCCCCGGAGGGGAAGAAACAGAAGAAGGAGGCTATTGAGAAGAAAGAGGCCCCCGTTGTTATTGACGAGGAACATTCCTCCTCCGGGGCCCCGGCTCAAGTTGCTGGAATGACATGGCCCCAGGAGAACGTGCAGTTCTCTATTACCAAGGGGACTACCATCATGCACGGCACCCTCAACCCGAGGGAGTTCCTGAGGGGTGCCACCCCTTCGACAGATAAGTCGGTGTTGTCCCGGCAGGCTGATGATGCCCTCTGCTCCAAGGTCCTCCAGGCCTCGGTCACTGTAAGATTTTTCCTCCCTTCTTTCCTTTAGTCAAATGTATTTTGCATATTGTGAGTAGTAACTTAACTCTCGTTGCCTTCGAATTTTCTTTGCAGGCATGCCTTGGGCTTGGCAAGCTCATCCAGAGGATGGAGCAATCGCAACTTCAGAAGGCACAAGCTGATGAAGCCCTGATCCTTGCTCGGAAGCAGCTCCAGGAAGTGCAGGAGGCCTTCCGCTTGGAGAAGGAGGCCTTCGGCAAAATCCTTGAAAACAGCAAGGTTGTGGCCATAGCTGAGGGTAGGGCTGAGGCCGAGAAGACAGCGGCTGTGGCTGTCAAGAAGGCCACCGAGGACGCCGAGGGAGCAAGGAATAAAGCTGTCACTGCGGCCCGAGAGGATGCCATCGCTGCTTTTGTCTCTGAGGGATGGAATGCTGAGGGCCGGCAAGAATGGGTGGCCTCAGTAGTGGAGGCTTCGGTGGACTCCTGGGTGAAAGGCCCAGGTGCAATGTGGTTAGCCTGGAAGGGCAAGGAGTATTACGATGGGGGTGAGTACTTCACTCAGGCCCTCATCTACCGAAGGCTGACCCGACATTTGGGGGTGGACTCGAAGGCATTTGACCCAGCAGCTCATGGTCTTCCTCCTCTCCAGCCAGATACCAGAATTGCCCTTCCCGAGGGTGCTACGAGGCCTGATCTCGAAGATACCGTATTGATGCACGAGGCCAACGATGAAGAAGAAGAGGCCGAGGGGGATGTTACTTCCAAGCCTGCGGAAGAGGGGGCCTCCGGGGCAAATAATGTTTGATCTGTACTTAAAGGTTTTTTGAACATTATTTTGTAGTAAACATTTGTAAGCTTTCAGCTTCGGCCCCGATGTAACAATTTACACCTTTATTTATTTTTGTGAATGGATGTACGGATGCCTTCGGGCCCTCGATGTATGAATCTATCTCCTTTTCCTCCTTTGATGAATGGATGTTTTCTTTTCCTTGCCTTCTCATAGTTATATGGATGATTGTATGGTGAGAGGGCCACACGTTTAGGACTTAGAAAATTTTTCTAAGTGTAGTTTTACCACTTGGCCTTCGTTGTACGATGAGTCGACCGAGGGCCAACCATTTAGGAGTTCAGATAATTTTCCTAAGTGTTATTCAGCACTAGGCCCTCGGTTGATGCTTCCTTCTGAACTTGTGTAGCTGTCATGAGGTGACCGAGGGCCAAAAATTTAGGACTTAGAAATTTTTTCTAAGTGTTGCTTACAACTTTGCCCTCGGTTGACATCTTCTTTCGTGTGCTTTGTGTTGTGTGAGCCGTAAGCCTCCTCCATTGATGGCCGAGGGCTAATAGTTCAGGACTTAGAAAATTTTCTAAGTAATGTTCACTGTCGGGCCCTCGGCTGATGTTTCCATTTAGTCCGCATGCATACCACGAGCTGACCGAGGGCCTGAGATTTAGGACTTAGACATTTTTCAAGTGGTGCTTTGCCACTAGGCCCTCGATTGACACACACACCCAGCCGTATGAAGTGGCTGGCCTTCGCCATGTATCCGCGGGGGAACCGGTGTTGTGGACTTAGCCAAATTTTAAGTGATGCCATGAATGTGCCCTCGGTTTGTAGTAGTCTTAGGTAAAGTTTTCCTTAGCGAAGGATGGGGATGCCGAGGGCCCTAAGGCCGGAGGATGCAGTAGTGATAGCCAAACTTGGCCTATTCCTAGCATAGGAGCCTCCGGTGATATTGGATTCCAAAGTATGGATTTAGGAATTATTGAGTCCAATGTATTATAGTCGGTGCCCTCGTTCCCTGTTGACTTCTCGAAAGATGTACAATAGGTGCCTTCGGTTTTGTCTTTCAAACTGTAGGCTTAGATGATCTCAGCCTGAAACATGAGGGCAAGTGCCTTCGGTCCATGCTGAGATGGAAGGTGTTGCATAGCGAGAGCCTCCGGAGCTAATTACCAAAACGTAGGCTTTGGAAATTAAGTCCCATATACAGCGTTTGATGCTTCTGGTATATGTCGAAATGTCGGGGGCTGGCAGAATGTGGACTTGGCCATATTTTGGTAACACTTTGGTGAATAGTATCCTTCAGAATAATGCTAACGTCAAAAGTGAAATTCAGGATTAAGAGCCCTCGGTGTGAGAGGGATTGCCTTCATAATGACCTTTCTTGCAATCTGCCGAAGGGTAATCTACTCGTGGAGTGTTTGAAACTTGTACTCATTGATTGCTCGTTGAGTCTACTCCCCTTCACTCCATTTTTTTTATAGTGAAGGGAAGGCTTCAAGAAACATGGTTTCTTGGTAAGGCTTGGCCTATCGGGAGGCAATGGTATACACCGTTGGCTCCTCCTCGGGATTAACCTTTCAGGTTCCGAGGGGATCGAGGGTCGTTTCCTCGGCATGAGACGTAGTCTGTTATCTGCCTCCCCTTGGGGGATGGCACGGAAATCGCCTCAGTTTTGAAAGTCGTTCCCTTAGCACGAGACATAGTCTGTTGCCTGCCATTCCCTTAGGGCAATGGCACGGGAAGCGTTTCGTTTTGAAAGTCGAATCCTGAGGCATGTTAGTTGCCTGCCATTCCCTTGGGGTAATGGTGCGGAAAGCATTTCACGGAAGGGTTTTATTTGCATATTAGTTGCAAAAGGCCGTGGTACTTGGTACCTTCGGCACCGATAGGTGGGGCCTTCGGTATGATTGCGTCCTCGAGGGGTACGACTTTATTTTTAACACTTGGTGTTATTTTTTGCATACAGTACCCCTGGTACTTGGTACCGAGGAGTCTTCCTTAAAAACACTTGGTGTTTTCTTTTGTTGCCGTAGTTGATTTGAGGGTCCACCCTCGGCACCTGGTGCCGGGGGGTCTTGTGATAAGGCCTTGGGCCAGGAGCTTGCATGAGGGCTTGGCCGCTCATGTGTGCTGTGTACTTGGTACTTTTTGGTGTCTTCAACATGTGTTTATTCTTGAAAAATAGGAGGCCTTCGGCCGTTGGATAAGTACATTCGTAAGTCATGAGGGCTTGGCCGCTCATATGTTACTGATAAAATTTGACCAGGTGGTGTACATTCCAATGTCTAGGGACCTCCGTCCCATTGGGGCGCTTTAATTTGTAAGCCCCTGGTTTGATGATGGTTGCGACGATGTAGGGGCCTTCGAATTTTGGCACCATCTTGCCGCCTTCGGTTGGTTGACTTGCTTCCCTTCTTCGGAGGACGTAGTCCCCCACCTGGAATTCTCTGGAACGGACCTTGGCGTTGATGTAGCCCTTTATTTGCCTTCGGTAGTTTTCAGCCCTTAGGAAGGCTTGCTCTCAGCGTTCTGAGATTAGGTGAAGGTCGAGGGCCATGTTGGCATCGTTGACCTCAGGTTCGTATTGGTCCACCCTTCGGGTAGGAAGGGTTACCTCAGTTGGAGCTTTGGCCTCAAATCCGTAGCAAAGGGAGAAGGGCGTTTCGCCTGTTGCCCGCCGAGGGGTGGTGCGGTAGGCCCATAGAATGTTGTGGAGCTCTTTTACCCAACCCCCAACCCCCTTCAGCCTCGAGTTTCTTTTTTAGGCCCTCGAGCAAAGTCCGGTTGGCATTCTCCACTTGACCGCTGCCTTGAGGGTAGGCAACGGATGAGAAGGTATGCTTGATGCCCCATGCCTCCAGGAGGGCACAGAAGGGGGCTGCCTCAAATTGAGTCTTGTTGTCGGAGATGATTTGTTGGGGACACTGAACCTGGTGAGAATGTTCTTGAGCACGAAGTGGCGGCACCTGGCCTCGGTGATGCTGGTGAAGGGTTCCGTCTCTACACATTTGGTGAAGTAGTCGATGGCAACGATGATGTACCTGTTGTTAGAGGTACCCCTCGGCAGAGGGCCCACAAGTCTATGCCCCCACCTGGAGAAGGGTATAGCGGTGCTGATGGGGGCATAGTTAACCGCAGGTCTCCCGGGAGCCTTCTGAAAGTGCTGGTAGGCGGTGCACCTTTGGGCGAGGTCTGCGCAATCTCGGGTCATCGTGGGCCAGAAGTAACCCTGAACTATGAGCCTTCGGGACATGGAGAAGGGTGCCTGGTGAGCTGAGCAAGTGCCACTGTGCACTTCCTCCATCGCAACCTCGGCTTTGTCCTGATGAAGGCACCGGAGTAACGTGCCATTTTAGGATCGTTTGTAAAACCTCCCGTCTTCAATGGTGTAGCTGGGAGCCCTCAGCTTTGCCAGCTTTGTGCGGGTTTCATCTTCGGGAAGGTGCCATGTGGAGATGAAGTTCATGATGTCTGAAATCCAATCCTCAGGCCTTTGTTGTATGTTCATGACGGGGCTGACGTGTATGCTTGAGAGGCTAAGTTCCTCAATTCTCGTGATCTTCGAGAGGTGCTCCAGGGATTCGGCCGAGAGCTTTGATAAAATGTCGGCCTCAGAGTTTTGAGCCCTCAGTATTTGAGTGAGGGAGTGTGCCTCAAACACCTTAAGCAATTCCTTGGCCGCTTCTTTGTACTGTTTCATTCTCCCTTCCTTGGCCTCGTATTCCCCTGAAATCTGGCCGACGACTAACTTGGAGTCGCACTTCACATGGATCTGTCTGGCCTTCATGTTAGCTGTCATCCGAAGGCCACAGATGAGGGCTTCATATTCCGCTTCGTTGTTGGAGACTTTGAAGGAGAAGCGGATGGCATAGTAGGCGCGGAAGCCTTCGGGAGTAATGAGAACTACCCCTCCCCCACATGCTTTGGTTGCAGAGGAGCCGTCAGTGTAGAGGGTCCACCATTCATCCGAGGGGCACCGAAGGTTCCTCGTCTGTAGCTGATCTTGTCGTGCACTCCGTCACGAAGAACGCCAGGGCTTGGCCCTTTATGGCTGGCCTCGGACGGATGTCAATGTTGTATTGGCTGAGGAAGATGGACCATTTCACCATCCGGGAGGAGCTGGTGGGGCTCCTCATCAAAGCGCCAAGGGGTTGGTGCGTGAGGACCTGGACAGGGTGTGACTGGAAATAATGGCCTAGCTTTTTTACGGTCCAAACAATAGCTAGCACCATCTTCTCCACAGGAGAATATCTGAGTTCCGCCTCCCTGGGGGTCTTGCTAACATAGAAGATGGCGTGCTAGATGTCATCCTCCTCCCGGATTAGCACTGAGCTTATTGCAGCAGGGCTAACGCCAAGGTAAACGTACAGAGTCTCCCCCACCTTGGGTTTGGAGAGCACAGGGGGTGAAGATAAGTACCTTTTCAGCTCATCAAAGGCCTCCTGGAATTCTAACGTCCATTGGAAGTCGGCTGTCTTCTTCATGATCTGGAAGAAGGGGAGGGACTTTTCCGCTGACTTGGACATGAAGCGGTTGAGGGCTACCAGGCGGCCCGTCAGCCGCTGGACCTCCTTTACGTTGCGTGGGGGCTCCATGTTGATGATGGCCTGGATCTTCTCGGGGTTGGCTTCGATACCCCTTCGGTTCACCATGTAGCCTAAGAACTTGCCCCCTTGCACACCGAAGGTGCATTTCTTCGGGTTTAGCCGAAGGTTGAACTTTTGCATGATGGCGAAGATCTCCCGGAGGTCGTCTGCATGG